CGGTGTTCATAGTCAAGCTCAACTCGACACCACGCTACAATTGGTGAGCCAAATCTGGGAACACGTCTCAACCTCGGTCAAATCTTCCAAAGAAGGCAATTCGGTGAGTCTATTGTTTATCTATCCACGTCTGTCGTATATTTTCATATTAATTTTTAATATATAATATACTCGACATGACGGATAACGATAAGAATAGTATTAATATAATAGACTCCGATGTACGCGTACCGAATCCTCGGCACTTTTTATTCGCGTGACGATAAATTGCACGCTTTATTCGAGGAATTCCCCAGAATAACTAAACCACTCGAGGAGATTTCATCGGTGACCAATCGTGTGGTACACCACCCGCGGACAACCAGTCACGGCAAGACCACGCCGACTGGCACCGGACAAATTAGCTTTTGCTAAACGTGAGTTTGACAATTTATTCGTCCTTCTCACAGTCCCTGGGCTTCTCCTCTTCATATGGTGCGCAAAAAGGATGGGGTTAGTTGGAGAGCATGCGGCGACTACCGAGCTTTAAACGTAGTTACGCGCTTTGATAGCTACCTCATCCTCCACATACACGACATCACGGCATCGCTCAAGGGCACGACTATCTTTTCTAAGATCGATCTGGTACGAGCATATTATCAGATCCCAGTCGCTCTTGAAGACATCGAGGAAACTGCTATCACAACTCCTTTCGGTCTGTTTGAGTTCCTACGAATGCCATTTGGATTTCGGAATGCTGCTCAAACTTTCCAAAGGTTTATCAATAGCATAGTACGAGACTTGGATTTTGTTCACGTCTATATTGATGACCTGCTAATCTCATCATCAAACGTAGATGAACATTATCAACATCTTACGCTATTATTCCAACGCCTCTCGGATAATGGAACAGTAGTCAACCCAGAGAAATGTGAATTGGGTAAACCCGAAATAATATTTTTGGGTCACATCATCAAACAAGAGAGTATTCTGCCTTGCGAGGACAAAGTTCGAGCAATCAAGGAGTACAACGTGCCGTCCTCAATCAAGGAACTGAAGGCTTTTCTCGGTTTGGTTAACTTCTACCGACGTTTCATCCCTCACGCGGCAGAACGGTTACGACCATTAACCGATTTACTACGCGGTAATCCACGCAAATTAGAATTGAACGATACCGCACGGACTGCATTTTCAGAGATCAAAACGGCTCTCGCTCATCCTGACCCATCAGCCACGCTTAGTATAGCGGTTGATGCATCAGATTTTGCTATAGGGGCCGTTATGCAACAGAATATCTCCGGTAGTTGGCAACCGCTTGAATTTTTCTCACGACGCCTTACTCCCACGTAGACGGGATATAGTGCTTTTGGTCGCGAACTGCTAGCAGCCTACTGTGCCATCAAACATTTCCGGCACGCAGTAGAAGGACGCCAATTCATCTTATTCACCGACCATAAGCCCTTAACGTATGCCCTGCATACCAAGTCTGACCGCTGCTCACCACGAGAATGCAGACATTTGGACTGTATCTCCCAGTTCACGACAGACCTTCGTCACATTAAAGGCGAGTCGAACTATGTTTCCGATGCTCTATCACGTATCTAGACGAATGCAGTTACCTTACCGGTGCTCGATCTTCCTGCTATGGCCGCCGCGCAAGCAAACGATCCTGTCTGTACAGAAGCACCACAATCTTCGTCCCTTCAGTGCCAGGAAGTACCCCTAGCTACTAGCTCAGGTACTATCCTATGTGATACTTCTACTGGTCTTCCTCGACCCATCGTACCCTCTGCCTATCGCCGTCTCGTCTTCGATGCCCTTCATGGATTGTCTCATCTAGGTATCGCAGCCACATTACGTCTCATCGCTGCACCATACGTCTGGCCGTCCATGAATAAAGATGTTCGTATGTGGGTAAAGCAATGCTTACAGTGTCAACGATCAAAAGTGCACAGGCACGTAGCTGCCCCCATTGGCACGTCCGCTACGCCTGATGCTCGCTTTGATCACGTTCATATAGACATTGTAGGACTATTGCCACCATCGCATGGGTATGATCACATACTCACGTGCATTGACCGTTTTACAAGGTGGCCCGAAGCTATTCCCATCACGTCTATCACGGCGGAGACAGTTGCTCACCGCTTCGTAGAACGATGGATAGCACTGTATGGTTGTCCCTCGACCGTCACGACTGACCGAGGACAACAATTCGAGTCCGCATTATTCTCCTCACTGACCCGGTTGCTTGGTACGGAACGCATACGCACTACCGCCTACCATCCAGCATCGAATGGTTTAGTCGAACGGTTTCATCGCCAACTTAAAAGTGCTCTTCGAGCACACGAAAACGACAATTGGTACAAAACCTTACCGCTCGTTCTCTTAGGCATCAGAACGAGTTTTAAGGCAGATATCCAGTGTTCCGTCGCTGAACTTGCATACGGCATGACATTGCGTCTGCCTGGGGAATTCTTCACACCATGGAGCAGTAACGATTTCGGTAAATCAGACTACGTCCATCGACTGTCTGCATTTATGCGAACGCTGTCTGCGGTGTCAACTCGAATACAACATCGACAGGTCGCTCTCCCTCGAGAGTTATCTACCTGTTCACATGTTTTCATACGAGTAGATTCGGTACGCAAACCTTTGCAACAGCCTTACGAAGGTCCTTTTCACGTGATCTCTCGTCACGAAAAGGCCTTCAAGGTTGATCGACATGGCCGCGTCGAGATCGTCAGCGTTGATCGTCTCAAACCAGCACACGTCGATGACAATGCCCTACCCGATAACTTGAGACTCAATGCTAGACCTATCAAACCCTCTAGCGGGCTCTCTACGTCTACCTCGGATCCCACGCTAGATACATCAGAGACCTCGCTCTCACGTCCCGGTCAACAGCACGCGTCATCTGCACCATCTACGGACGAGACTTCCGTCTCACGTCCAGATCGGCAGACCACGCCGCCCTTGACCTCGGATGAGATCGCTGGCTCACAAAGTACGAACGAGACTACCGTCTCACGTTCCGGTCGCCGAGTACGCTTTCGCGACTAACCGCACAATCAACATTGGATACGGTGTAGGACTATTGCTATACTACGCGCATGAACATTTTTCTTTTTTTTTGTATCCTGAGCCCACGCCTCCGACCATCGCCCTTTTGGTAACGTCGACTTCAGTCAACTTTGGCGAAAGCTGGTTTGGCCACCTACGCTTTTGTCAACGCACTCAGTCGATAATCTGGTTTCGAATTCGCCTGGCATACGCTTGGTTTCGCGTTTGGTCGTTATAGTCGCCTCCGGTTTCTTGGCTCAACGTGGTTTCGTCCTACGTCTGCAGCGTTTCCTGGTCTACACCCCTACGAACGCAATCTTCAGATCCTGGATACAAACCACTCTGGTGTGGTATGCTAACCCGAGCAACAAATACAGCACACTTCTCCTGGTACCGTTCTGCGCAAAAGATTTCCGTTGGCAACTCGAGGATCAACGATCGCTTCCTGTTTCGCCAGTTCTTCCGTCCTACAACCGCACTTGTGCCGATCAGTCCCACGAATCGAACCTCTACCAATCGAAAGTGTAAACCCTTTCTAGCAGGGAGCTCCTGTAGTGACCTACTTTTGTCAACAGAACGCGATTGGTTCAATAAAAACAATTATTATTACAACCAATTGTACCAGTGACTGTTTTACTGTGCTCGTTTGTTTAACTATGCTAATGACAGCCATTACACTTACTCTCCCGTTGACTTTGAACTTGTACGAATTCGGTTACGCTCAGTAACCACGCTTGCACTCCTTTGGCACGATCTCGGTATTCTTTCGATACCACGAGGTCGCCAACAAATACATCTCGACTACAGCCATCATCTGTCTTCTGATATTGGCCTACGGGGATCTTATTGGTTAATTGGCACGTAGTCTTGTAGCGGTGTTCATAGTCAAGCTCAACTCGACGCCACGCTACAAGTTCAAATACCATCTTGAGATTGTAATGATGCGAGCAGACAGCATCTGTGGATATAATAGTGTTGCTATCATCAACTTTCAGGCAAGTTGTGTCGAAATCATCACTACATTCATGCAATGATTCTTATGCTAGACTTGTTTCTCTTCCTTAATCATAATTTAAGATCGGGGTTGTAATATTGTAGTTGGTTGTAAACTTATTGTCGACACCAGTTATATAATCGTTTCCTTGTCACGGAACGTGATAAGGCTTTGCTTGTTCATTGAGCATATCCATTTTCTTATCTATTTCTAGAGAAACAACCACCAGAATTTCCTCGTCAAACCTTTCGTGTACATACCTAAAATTTGAGTAAAGCATTTCCCTACTTCACGCCTTTTCTCTTGTATTATCACGTAGATTTAATCTGAAATCACTAAAGGCGGCTAGGAAGTCGTATTGATTGACCGCAGTTTAATGTCCATTTTGTGCATTTTCGATCAAACAAAATCAACATATAGTCAATTGAATTTTTCTGATGTTTGTTTCCGTTGGTACTCAAGCTGTTTAAATGGACTGGCTAAAAGACATTCAAGTTTCCGAGTAGATCAGTCCATCTGTTAGGATTTGTTTTACTGTTCACAATTTGAGCCTAGAAATCTTCCTGTCAAATTTGTCATTTAGGTTGTTAATGAGTTGTAATAAGTGTTAATCAGATTTTCTTTAGCAAATCTGAAGGATGTTCGAAGCTCCAAAGATGTTATCTTGAGTGAATATGTACGATGAGCAAGAGGTTGTGATATATATCATGGAAAATTGTAAAGAATGTATTATTTCTCAACATGAAAGTCATATTGTTTATATTATCAATTTAAATAGTGTTCGAACTAAATACATCGTAATTTATAAATTTTTCATTCATGAATTCGACACATTCACTTAAGAATCGTGTAATGTGAGAAGGGACCTACATTCAGTCTCATCAACGAGAAATATTTTGATATAAACGCGTTAACGTATTTACCCATTGTTTGTCTCAGTGGTATGAATCTAAGTAATACACTAAAAGTGCGCTGCTATTTGGTATTTGGTGTGTAAAAGACTTCCTACCAGTTTGTTTGAAATTACGGCTGTGACTTCAAAACTGACAAACGTCTTATAAGTATTCTGATAAACTGTTAAGTGGATTTTATAGATAATATATTTTTGCTATTGAAGGACCAGAAATCACATTTAAATGTCGTATGGCGCTTAAGTCTGTCTATCTACACCATTTTACTTGCAAGTACAACTAATCCCAGTAATTGAAAGTAAAATCATCTATAGTAACCAACTGCCAACGGAACACTAGGTTAGGGTGTTGGTCAATAAATTAAGTAACACTATATTTATTCTGATATACTTTACTGGTCTTCATTAAAATAAAAACTTGAATTGATGAACAACTGTTTTGTCATACATACAAACTAATATTTCTATTATATAAAAATTTTCGTTGCCAATCTGTTGATGGCATCAAGCCTGTTGTTTTAATTCTTTGACTACATTTTTTCGCCAGCCGACGGAAGTGATTGTTGTGTGTGGAAATTGATGAATGTTAATAGTTCTTGCAAACTGTTAAGCTGTCCGTTTTATGATTTTCTAATGAATTTTCGTAAAACAATTAAGAAAAAATAAAATCGTTTATTTTATTGAAAGTGAATTTGCATCTAAATACGCTTACATTCATTGGAGCCACAGTGAATAGTAATGACAAGAATATCATGCCAGAAAAACGGCGTAGACCATCAGGGATATAGTGCATTATAAATAGAATCGGATGATCAAGTCATTTTGAATGTTCGTGAAAGGTGAAATGGTGTATAAACTTATTTCTTCTGTGCAGCTACGTTCTTAGATCGTATATTAATGTCATTTCTTCGGTATCTCCAAGCATATGTTAACTAAAGAAAAGTCTGTATGTTGCGTATAAAATAAATGAGCAAATTATCCTGAGTACATATTTTTTATTTTCCCCCAGCATAACAATCTGGGGTGGGGTGGGACTAATCTTTCTGTGTGCTGAAAATACGATCTGATTAACTCCTATTAAAAAAATCTTAGTTTGTCGGTAAAAACAAATTCTAGATGTTGGAATTTTATTTCTACTGATTCAACTTACACTGATAAGTGGATAGTTTTCTCTGACAGTTGAATATTTGGGTCGATGGTTAATGAATCTTGCGGTTCTGAAGTTATTATCAGTTCATCACACGGAATGCATAACTAGAAATGAAAATCAGTATTATTGATTATTTTCTTTATAGCAACGAATAAAACGTAACACCAAGGATTGATTCTTTCCTGTACAGTTTTCGGCAACATTACACAGGCATTTAATCACCCAATAACCCATTTGAATGTGATCGACTAACCTGTGAATAATTGATATACGATTTCTTAGAACATTGCGCAATGTAGTGCAGCTTTATAAAAGCTAATCTACTGGACATATTTTGAAAAGTCTTGTAATGTGAGCTTCTATCTGATAAAGTCATAGAATTAAAAACCAATTCATGCAAATGAAAACACGACGTATAAGCAGATGATATTGCTTTCAATCTTCGTCTAATATACAGTGATGTTTACATAAATGTGTTAGACCAATTAAGTTAAATTGTGAGGTAATGGTAACAATACGGTAGATTGCGTAACTAATCATATTAATTGAGGTGTATATATTGAAAGCAATAGTAAATATAAGGATTACAAGAAGGGTGATAACGCTGACAAATATTTCAGCTTAAACCTGGAGAAATAGATTAATCAAAATGATGACCTTCAAAAAGATTGCGTAGTAAAAGGTGTGTTCTGTAATCATTTTCAATGCACAAGTAGTAATTATGTTTTTTTTTAAAGTAGAGAAGCGCAAATAGAAGAATTTGTTGGCAAGATTATTATTTTCCGTTGACAACGGAAGATACAACGACATTCTATTAACATGCAAATGTACAAGGGTCTTTGGAGACATGGGTACAATAAAGGTATTGTGCACATAGGTCTTTTGTCAACCGTACCGCAGAAACAACTGAGGCTGTATGGCGGAGTTCGAAAGATTATCTATGACTGAATGAGAGGTTTAAAGGAAATATCCTCAGGAGTCACATATATGAGTTTCGTTATCAAATGTTTTGCGACTTCAAATTAGAAAATCGAAATCATAACAACCTGGGCAATTTCATTATTTATGGAGAAACAGGAAATATTTTTTAATTTCAATTATTCATGTGCTATAAAGCATTCACTGATTAATCTTTTGATTGGCTAAAACCTAAAAAGCCGCCTTACATTATTTAAACTGTAGCTCAAGTGTCTTTGACTTGCAGTCCTTTCATGGCCGTAAATGACTTTTTAAGAAACCTCATGTTGTTGAAGACACTTATACTAAGGTCGACCAATTGATGTCTGCGCAAAATATCGCCATGATTGTATCGACAACACTGAAGTCACTTGTATACTCGTCAGTCGTCTGTTTAGATGTTAGTTCGTCATGCAACGTAATTCTGAATTATAAGAAAAGGTGCTAAGGTATTGTGACTAGGAACGGTTTCAAAATTTTCTTTTTGAATATACTTATTCTATGTACCAAAAATTGGCTTTTTGCGGTCTCGGTTTCCCTGCTGATTTGTTTACTGTACTCTTTTTTTCTGAATCTCAACCATTTCTATACCAACAAAAGACGGTGGTAACTTTCTCAATATTTCAGAGCAGACTTCTCTACATTGGTAAAATCAGTATACTTCCATAATTTAGAGCATTACATGTAAAAAAATTTCGTTAAGTTTCAACTAAGAATGGAAAATAGTTGGTTACTGATTAATATGTTTGTTCTAATAACAATTAAACTGAAGCAGCATTATTTCATGCCGTGTTTTTTTCGCAAGCACTGTGTAGTCCGAAACCGTAGATGTTTTTCGACAATTCAATGTATTGTCAATAGTATATATTTTTCTCATATATAAATGAATTATGAATCGAACTTTAATGATTAATCTCCTTGAATTTATGTGCCTTAAAATTTGACCCAACGACCTTAATCACGATTTCATTGCCAAGATCTTGAGTGTTGCTCCACATTTGATCTACCTTTAATATTCTCAATGACGCTATATTTTTAACTTATTCAGTCTTACATGGAGTCAGCAAATAAACTCCGCTAGCCAGTGGGATCCGTATCCAGTCGTTTGAACATACATTCATTAAAAAGCAACTAATTTGGATTATATCAGTATGATTTCGTGAAATTACTTTTTAAATAACCGATCAAATCTCTCATGTTATACGAAGTAAAAAAGCGCACTGCCATATATATATATATATATATATATATATATATATATATATATATATATATATATATATATATCAAAATATTATAAAGCGAGGTTATTTAATAAAATAGGCAATGATATTTCAAAACGGTATCTGATAACCTACTTCAATCTTTCCCGATGGATGAAACGTAATGTAATAAACGATCATCATCACTATGCCCATACAAAAACTACACATCACGATAATAAGAAGAGTGTATGGAGGTAAAACGGTGTTCCATGTGGATGGTTGATTTTTGAACACACTTTTTGGAAGACTTGCATCAATAAATGAATGTGTTACCCACCACAATGACGCACACACTGAGTTTTCAATGCCAAATATTAAGTAACATGATACATACCACATTCGACTTCGTCCTTCACGAATATTGACCACATCAAAACAATAAACTGCACCTAATACAAAATCAAAGGCCAGTTCTCCTAATGCTCGTGAATTAGATGAACAAAACGTCGTCCCGCGAGTGATTAACCAACCAGAAGCCAACAACCAATGAATACCGAGCGCTACTACAAACCAAAATCCGTTTACAACAGAAGCAAGTATACCCAGAGCCAGTAATCGTGATGCTAGCACTCCAGCCTTCCAGAAAAAGAAGAATATAATACCTAAGGTTTGGATATTTCTTTTTTCAATACGTGAACTGCGTAGAGCAGATTGGTAATAGGTTAACGACCACGCCAATGAAAGCCATGAAAACACACATGAAACGAATTGTGCAGTCACTAAATGTCAAAATGTGGGTAAAAAGATAAATTAAAGTTCAAAAACAATAAAGAATACTTTGATGAAACCAGATATTTATAAAGGGTAGTTGATAAAAGACATTATGGAGATAACTAGTCTTAGGTTGTGCCAACCAGCAACAAAACAGAAAGAAAAAAGTCGTCAGAAATGTAAAATTTATCGGAACAAGACGGTCTGAAACTGGTAAATAAATAACAATTTTAAAGATTTTCAATATTGATTTGATAAAGGTGGTTACATTCTACTAATTTTTAATCGTCACGAAAGTTATGCACCCAGTATGCATCGAATCAGAATTTAGTCGGCATTTATGTACTTACCGTATTCACCTAATTTAAATCATTTACCAAGTGAAGATTCGTGTACTCAACTTTGGGCTACAGTTTATGTATGAAGGTTAATGATTCTATCTGGCTGCCTAAAGTAAGTGGAGCGAGGGTCGAAAAAGAGACCAAGTGTTTGGAAGTTGAATGTCAACCAATAAGTCACTTCTTCATATTGTAGTGAAGGAGAACACACGTGAGAAAAAACCGAATTTATTTGAACACTAAATTACAGAATATTTCACTAAAATCTGAGAACCATACAGTAAATCTTTAATTTGCAAAATACCAATCCATTGTCTCAAACTTGACTGTTTCTGTTGCAAATACCACTCCGTCGTCTCAGATTTCATTGTTTTTGCATGTTCATACTAATTGCTTTCCATTCTCGTTCTTTCCCGCTATTGTTATATGCTACTTATGTGTATATAAGTAGCGCACATTACAATATGACAATGACGTCGATCCTTTGTCTGTTTCGCAACAGCCAAGCAGTATTGTTTAGATACCTACGAATGAATGCTTACAATTTACGCATATTTCCTACTTCTAATGGCTAAGACTCATCCAGAAAGTGTTCCAAATAAAAATCAAGGAAATAAGATACGGTAAACATTATAAGCAAATGCAAGAAACGCACTTGGAAGTTTGTATAACGTAACTCAAACTTGATAAAAGAAACGAGTGTTGATAATTTTTGAGTCTATGAAAATGGGTTTAACGAAACTTTCAAAGAGAAATGGAATTTGAAGTCATTTAAACCGACCTTAAAGATTCACATAACTACTGATGAAAGACTATTCTCTCGAAGCCTAAAGAACACTCGATTATCGAATAATACAATTAATCATTGGATTATGAAACGATTTAAGTTAAACAACCATGGAAAACCTGGAAGCTCTGAACGGCCATTATGTCCAACTGTGTCTGTTCTTCTTTGCAATAGTCATAAATAATATAAGAAATATGGTCTAATGGCAACCATTATACCGCAAATTAAAACACATTAGTCTCACACATAAATTCCCATAATGATTTATTGTCACCTTTATAATTATTACACATAGTATAATCGACTAGCCAGACAGCAAATGATATAATGAGTAAAATCAAGTGTTTATAAAATATGAAGTCTGACTGAAAGGCAGCATATTCTACATAGTTCCATAAGCAACTAACAGGGTCATAACATAGAAATTTACAAAATATCATTAATATAGGTTTGCGGAGATTGTTGAATTTAAATTGATATCATGAATGGATAGACGTTAGACCACCACCGGAAACCTGGAAGCATTGGACAGCCGTTTCGTCCCAGCATGGGACTCCTCAACAACGCGCATCCATGACTCCGCACGCGGAACTCAAACCCAGGACCTTGGATTTCGCGGGCGAACGCTTAACCTCTAGACCACTTGAGCCGACATCCAACGGTGTTAATGTCTAAATTCAACCAATAGACGATATTGCGCGACTGTCCATCATTGTCTTCAGTGAGTAACTGTGAGACTGGAGAGCCTGGCTTAGAATCTCGCGTGCGGGATCGTGGATGCACACTGTTTAGGAGCCCCATACTAGGACGAAACGGCCCTCCAGTGCTTCCAGGTTTTCTACGGTGCTCTAACATTCATCCACTCACGATATCAATTTAAAATATTATTAGCTTCATTATTCCAGGACAGAAACATACTTTGAAATTTAGGTGCGGGATATGGTTGCGTTAAAATAATGTACAACTGTAACAGAAGTTGTGGAGCGGATTCAGTAAAACATTCTATCAAACGAAGCATAGCACAATCAGCATCTTCATAAAGCATCAACTGTGTATATTGTGCAGCTACACGAAGACTTAACCCGGGTCGTCGACTCGCTATACCGTAGTAGATAGCGTCAGCTGCCCTAGAGGTGAAAAAAAGCATAAAAATGGAGATAATCACTGTAATACCTTAAGTTAGTCGTATACTGAACTCAAAATCAATCTACTTGTTGCTGAACACAGCCCAAGACCCCTCTACCAACAATGACAATATGAACATTGTCTACAAAAGATGAAAAACTATAAAAGCCCTGGCAACAAGACCATACGACCGAAATGATCAAACATGAGGGTAACAAACTGAACAATGTACTATTAACGAACAAATTTGGAGAAATCACATTATGTCAGATCACTGGCTAGATGCAAATGTGATTCGTATAAATAAAAATAAAGGACCAAAGACCTATACCAATAACTACCGTAGCATCTCAATGGATACAATAGGAAAGATATTTGCTGGTATTGTTTGAAATAGGCTATCTCAATTAACGGATAACCGGCTGCACTTACCCAATCTGTCATGTCCCGATAAGAATATAGAATGGTAACTTTTGGGATCCATTTATGGACCAATACTATGCATATTTTTATTATATTTTATCGTATAACTGTTAAGTAACTAAACTGTTCATATTCATGTCTACCTTATTGTAAGCTTTAGTTTGACCTATGAACTATTATAGTACGATTTACCATTCTTGAGTTATGGCCTGTCTATTAATTACTATCTCTCTCATTCACAAACACATTTGGCTAATTCATGTACAGATGTCATGATGTGGTCTGTCTGGTTGATATATAAACCCAGTATGCTTGAAATAAATGATTCATATTGCAGGGTCTGAGATTGGTGTTCCGGACTTACCTGGCTGGGCTAGACAGGAAGCGAGAGCAATAAGGATTCTAGGCTGCTCGCACGTGTTTTATACGTCACAGGTTCAACCGATAATTCGCTGCTCTCTGATTGGTTCACAGGTCACAATTTATTGAGCACGCATCTGCTTGCGCCTCACTGGACGCAAAAAAGACTCATTAGAACTGAATTGAGTAATGAGAAAACCAAAAGTAGGTTCCAGGAACAACGGAGGTCACACTTAGATAGTTCTGAAAACGAGGCTGACCCAGATATTGCTTGGAAAGATATACAAGCAGCTATGGAAATAGCAGTGACATCTATTAGTGATTTAAACCACAGGGTTACAAAGAACCAATGGATTTCTTCAAGGTCTATTGCACTGATGGATTCTCGTAAACTCATCCCATCAGGTTTTGAATACGATGAAGAGCGTAAAGAAATCAGATCTAGGTTAAGCAAAAGTCTAAGGAACGACCGTGAGCAGTGATGGGTAACGAAAGCAAGAGATGAAAAAGGCGGCGGCTATATGGAACACAAGACAACTCTACAGACTAATAAAATAAACTGGAATTAATAAGTCAAGTGTAAGTCAGACTATTTCGGAATAAAACAACACTCATCTGCTCCCAGTCCAGACATTTAGAACGATGGGCGGAACTTTTTAGAGAACAGTTCAGCTGGCCTTCAGCTACTCTACAACTACCCTCCATTCTCAGATAGTGTGAATGGAACATTGAAGTGTAGGTCCCTCAACTGTAGCTGAAGTTCAAAAGGCTATAGTTAATCTGAAACGAGGAAGGGCATCAGGTCCAGATGGATTGGCCCCAGAGGTCTTTAAGAATGGTGGACTAGTTGTAGCGATTAGGTTGACTAATATTTTAGCTAAAATCTGGGAGTTAGACGTTATCCCATCTAACTGGTCACAATCACTTATCGTCCCAATATATAAGAAAGGGTCAAAATCATCTTGTGACAACCATCGAGTGATTAGTTTGACTAATATAGTATCTAAAATACTAGCCTCGATAATTATCGGACGCCTAACTAAGACTCGTGAACTGCAAACACGAGAGAATCAAGCTGGCTTCAGACACGATCGTGACTGTATCGCCTACATATTCACCATTCGTCAGGTTCTAGAACACAGGCATACTTATCGGCGTCCGACAATGGTGGTCTTTTTTGACTTAAAAGCAGCATTTGACTCTGTAGACCTAGAGGTTCTGTGGCAGTGTCTGTCATTAAAAGGTATACCTCAGAAGTACATAAACCTTGTGAAGGCTCTTTACTCGAACACTACTAATCGAGTGAGAGCTTATGGCGAACTTTTATCTGATTTCGCAACCTCAAGTGGTGTCCGTTAAGGCTGTCCACTTTCTCCATTTTTGTTTAACTTCATCATAGATTTACTGATGGAAATAACGCTCTTATCGACTAAATTCTCGGGCATCGATCTCCTACCAGGAGGTCCACTTATCGACTTAGAATACGCAGATGATATAGTCCTGTTTGGTGAAGACGCTAATAAAATGCAGAGTCTTTTGGTAGCACTGAGCAACAATGCCAGGTTGTTTAGGATGCGCTTCTCTCCCTCTAAATACAAGTTGTTGCTTCAGGACTGGTCTGCGTCAACACCTGAACTAAGGATAATAATTGAAATAATCGAACGCGTTGACAACTTCACTTATCTTGGAAGTCTGATCAGCCCTAATGGGTTGGTGTCTGACGAAATCTCAGCACGGATTCGAAAAGCTCGTTTAGTTTCTGCGAACGTGCGTCAGTTATGGCGAAGGCTGGATATACATCTATCAATAAAAAGACGAGTATACTGCGCGGCAGTTCTTTCTGTTTTACTTTACGGCTGCGAAACATGGTCATTAAGAGTGGAAGATACTCGTAAGCTACAAGTATTTGACCACAGATGCCTTAAAAATATTGCCCGCATCTGCTGGGATCACCGGGTAAGTAATAGTGAGGTTATACTCAGGGTATTAGGAAATGATGGTAAATCAGTTGATAAGGTTATGAATCTTCATCGACTGAGATGGTTGGGCCACGTGCTGCGTATGCCTGAACACCGACTACCACGACGCGCAATGCTGACTAGTGTAGGGGATAATTGGAAGAAAGTTAGAGGCGGCCAAACCAAAACGTGGCATCAGTGCTTGAAGTCACTAACTTCTGGTCTGAGCCATGTTGGTAGATGCAGACTGCCTGGTTGGGGTCCGCATGACTATCGTAACCAATGGTTGGAGACTCTTGGTGACATGGTTCAGAATCGATCACAATGGTGTCGGTGTATACACTCTCTGTCTTCCTTTAAACTAAGAGATTAAAATCGCTTCATATCTTCCTTTCTAGGAACTAATTCTTTCTTCCTGTACTATCTCCTTGTATGCAATCTTTCTTCTAAATATTACCACCATTGAACTAATCCTGTACTCACTCTGGATGGTGAGCAGATAGAAGTAGTCGAGAAGTTCGTGTATCTAGGTAGCTGCATAAGTGCTGGTGGTGGCGTGAGTGATGAGATCAATGCACGTATAGTGAAAGCCAGAGCGGCTTATGCCAATCTGGGCCATCTTTGGCGCCTTCGTGATGTTAGTCTGGTTGTAAAAGGTTGGATCTACAACGCGTCGGTGAAAGCAGTTTTGCTCTATGCTTGTGAAACCTGGCCTCTCCGAGTTGAGGATGTTAGACGACTCTCTGTGTTCGATCATCGTTGCCTCCGAAGGATTGCTGGCATCCAGTGGCAACACCATGTCAGTAACGCAGAGGTTCGGCATCGAGTGTTCGGTCACAGAGACGATAATGAAATTGGTGTCACCATCTTGAAACACCGACTTCGGTGGCTTGGACATGTTCTACGAATGTCGTCCCAGAGAATCCCTCGTCGTGCATTATTTGCCGACTCTGGGACTGGTTGGAAAAAGCGGAGAGGTGGTCAGTATATGACATGGTGTCGTGGTATGAAAGAAAGCTGCAAAGGGCTAGCTTCTGTTGGTCCTTCACGACTCCCTGGTTGGGGTCCGAGAGATGGTGTAACGCAGTGGCTAGAGACGTTATCAGATATGGCTCAGAATAGAAGCCAGTGGCGATCCTGCTGTAACCTTCTTTTACTTTCTTCATAAAAAGGTGGTCGTATTCTTCCTTAACTGAAAGATCTGTTCTGATTGTACCTTTCCGTTTCCCCCACCATTGTTCTCTCTCTCTCTCTTCTTTTTTTTTATAATTCCCCACGTTCATTACTTTTTTTTTTCTTCTCTTTTCTCCTTCTCTTCTAATTATCACTGTTTTGTGTGGCGCATATATATTTGGTGCCCCCCTGTACCAATATCTATGTGTTCAAATAAATAAATAAATAATAAAACCATTGAACTAACTACTTCTATGAATCCGGTGTTCATCTTGTTGTGCTAATGCGGTATGGCAACTTGGACCGATGCATATACGTGCCTGGTCTTACGTTGCAGCTGACTGACTGACTGTCACAAGTTATAACACAATCCGGTTTTAGAAAACACTTAGCTACCAAGCATGAAACAAAGACAATTAGACACATCATACAAAGTGCCTTAAACACGAATCAAGTGCTAGTACTCACCTTGATTAACCGAAATAAAGCATTTGATCCTCTTCCTAAATAACAAATCATCAATACACTAGTAAAAACATACCCAACAAATAAATTGACACATATGATCAAACTATTAGACAGAGGACACATCAAAGACACATATACTTCAAAAGGCAACGAGGAACTTGGCGAGGTAATAAAGAGATCCAAACTCTCTTTAGACTATTCTTCATACAGACCCTAATTACGACACAGATCAAGTTATACAAAGATAATGCAGTGTACAATAAATTTGAGAACCATACGATTCTGAATGAGCGTTTGTGTATGAAATGCTATACTTCATGGGTGCACAAGTCGATGGTGATTTTCTTAGAGAGCCACTTCTCGAACATCTGACCCAGATGTTTAATCTACAATAAAGTAGAAAAACGTTAGATGCCATCTCATAGCAGTCGATGATCTTATTCAGTCCTATTAGGATTCTGGATTTCATCAATCCACATCATAAATAGTACTTGAAATAGCGTGTGAACTCGAGCAGTGGATGTTAAGCTGTTGCGTCACAGTCTCTATTTGTGCATCAAGTTGTGCTTGCTGTTGTTCTAGTATTCGGTTGAGCTGGTCATCTGATATTAGCATCTTGAATGTGTTTTCCTATTCCTCGTCACCACTTATAATTTCTCTTATTACAAACACAGCTACTCCTATTGTTAAGCACTCTTGGACACTACTTCACTCGACAAGTCCCAAAATCAGAACACAGTTGAACAGGAACTTAATTATATTCCAAATAAAATGGTTGGATGGAAGTAGCAATCATAATAAGAGAAAAGTAAGTATATTTATAGTTTTTACAACAGAAGATCCTAAAGTTTTCTCTAAGTATCCACTAGCGCTGATTGGATAAAAAATACCCCATCATGGTGCCCCAAAATGATCCTGCACAGAACGTGCTTTAATCCTATCTATATACCACTAACACATTGATTTTAAATCAAGATTTTCCAACTTCCCTAAGTGAACTATCTGTACCTACCAAACTGGTTGGAGCACCAGATTTTCACTTTTCGTCCCCTTACTTTCACACACAACACCCTCACCACAGGAAAGCAGTGAGTACGCGTTCTATGACAGGAGCTTTGGACGCATGGTTATATGAGAATACTTCGAGAGGAAGAGAGAAATCCCCGTATCAGTGAATTTGGAAGTAGCTAAAAGTAGTGTAAACCAAACCTGAATGATAAATATTTTGACAAAACAAATACCACCAGAAACTATCTATATCATAGCAGAACTAACAAAAACCATTAAACAAACTAGCATCGATTTGTACAGTGTCTCTAAGAATCACTAGTCGCCTAATAACTTTCGTTGCCTAACCAAAAATTAAACAGTTCCTGAAAACGTTTTAATTTTTGTCAATTTGTCAATCGCTGACACTAGATATGGAACCAATACGAAGCAGGAAGAGTTGAAATGTTTTATGCTAGTCTGAAAAACGGCGAAACTATTCGGATTTTAACTTAAGAAGTTCAGGTCTCGTGGGAAATTAATATATGAAACACTGAAATATAACTTGATGGCTTAATTACACTGTTTTTGCTGAGACCAAAAGATCATTGATTTTATACTAAATGAATTCTAAAATAGGAAGAAGTACTTATGCTCTGTTCCCTGATATTCAAACGTCATTTAACTTATTTCAATCTGTGATAAAACCATCTTCACGTTGAGCAAATTTCCATGATAAAAGTTATTTAACTACTACGGGAAAGTATACGGAAGATAATAAAGTAATGACAAGAACAGAAATAATAAAAGCCGTGATCCAAATGACAACACAACAACAGTACGTTAAATTTCTGGCATAGTAAATCATACACATCATATGGCACGTAAAAGTAAAACTGAACCAGAATTAACAGTTACTAAGATTTTGAGTTACGACTGATAGTTATAGCAGCTCGCTTGCTAGGTCTAAGAGCCAACCATCACAATTAGTAACTCAGAACGACCATTTATTATACGATGTCATATCATGAACTGACAACAAAAAATACAGTACTGCCAATACAAACAACACTAAACTCACATTACTGAATCTCCGGTTCGGAGAATATATAACCTGAATATAGTGAATAAACCATAGCTTATTTATTCCAATTCTTTAACATTAAAAATTCAGTCTGATGGAATCAATCGCCTTATCAAATGAAATACAAACAAGGAAACCATAGCTCAAAGTAAACTAACCTCACTAGTGGGGCCAACTGGAGTCCATGAAACAATAGTCTAAACGTCCATGTTCGATAGCTGCGCGGAGGATCAACTCGAACTTTATAGTCAATGAAATACCACGCAAGACTGAAACTGGACATCAAGAGAGCAGGAACAACCATGAAAATCATTGTTAAACCAGACCAGTAGTAATCTTCCTACATCAATAAATAAAAAACAAAAATTAGATCGAACGTTTATAGAAACTATCTTGTAAATAAATTTTTGAACAAAAGGTTATTTTATATGAATAACTCAAATACTGACAAAAGGCGCTTCATTATTTAGAAGTTAAAGAAACACTACCAAACGCTATAAATATGAGTATTACATCCGGTAAACTAGTAGGAAATCTATGTTCATAAAAAATCCATATCGAGACTTTCTCTGATAAGTTTAAAAATACTATTGAATTCGCGTTCACTCATCGAAATAGAATCAATAAAATTGACAACTGACGTCTGTGAAAGCCCTGTCCACAAACCAACCTGTAAGTCAAGTTTGTTTGTAACTGAAACATCAGATATCTCGTAAATCCAAGAAAAAAGAACAACTTATGTCTCCAAAGAAATGTTGATACGTATTAAAGTTTCAAAAGGACCCCTTGTTGGCATGAATCACTATAATTAGCACACATAATTCCCTTTCGATTGAAAAACCACACTGAACTCAAAGTCCCCTAGTGGAAATCTTTCAACTCTAATAAGGCTCAGACATCAACCTGGTCGTATAAGAATGTCTTAAATAAGAAGCAACACTTCAAATGACCTGCAAACGTGGGTACTGAAAATAAGGCTTACCTACGTCAGGTTTATATGGGTTGTCAAAAAAAGACCTTCCCATGGTTAGAGTTGTTATTCAGTAGAAAAAGTAAGTGGTTGACTAATTAAAGTTGTAACGAACGATCACCGTTATCCGTTTGCAAGGTCATAATATGCAAAGTTTTCAAGCGTCTTCATGTTTCTATCAATCTGGTTATGTGAGGATTGAAGTTCATCACCCAGATGACTTACAACCTAAGAGCATTCGGATTTATAGGAAACACCAAGATGTTTTTGGCCAAATGTATCTTTCACTGATTCCAAACTATATCCACAGAGCCTTCAAACAGGTTACGCTCTGTACTCTAATTTTCCAAGTTCCTACAACATTTTTAATCACATAGTCAATTTCTGATTGCCTACCATGGTCGAGTAATAGAACTTGATTACTTTGCGTAACATTTATGAATGCAAATAAATCAAGATAAAATTCTATGCAATATCTATTCTCTGGTTATTGATATTTTTAAGGCAAACTCGCTAGTTTGAACCTAGCAATCAATTAGTACTGATAAGTCAGCACGTGGAGATGTAGTCATCAGTAACCGGTTCAACAGGCAAAACAAATCTGGATAATAATCTAAAATGACTCACAAACTGTTTAGCCTACGGGATTATTTTTTCTTTTAACCTACATATCCCTGTTACCCCTCAGGAAGAAGAATAGGCCTCTCACCAGCACTCTCCATACAACCCTGTCCTGGGCAATCCTTTCCAGTTCTTTCCAGTTGCTGCTCATCCTTTTCATGTCTACTTCCGATTACCGACGTAGTGTGTTCTTCGGCCTTTCACTTCTCCGTTTCCCTTCAGGATTCCAAGATAGGGCTTGCCTTGTGATGCAGTTTGGTGATTTCCACAATGTATATCCTGTCAACTTTCAACGCCTTCAGCTGGAAGCTGGTTTGTTCTCTCCCACAGAAGACTGTTGTTGATGGTATCCGACCAACGGACATTCAGTATCTTACATAGGCAATTGTTTATAAATACTTCTACCTTTTTGATGATGGTTGTGGTAGTTCTCTAAGTTTCAGCTCCGTACAGTAGGACTGTCTTGACGTTCGTATTAAAGATTGACTTTGATATTGGTTGACAATTGTTTTGAGTTCCATATGTACTTCAGTTGTAGGAATGAGGCCCTTGCTTTTTCAATCCTCGCCTTTACTTCTGAATCAGATCCTCCTTGTCCGTGAAAAACTCCACATCTTCCAGAGCTTCTCCATCAAGTGTGATTGGGTTGGTGTTCTCCGTATTGTATTTGAGGATCTTGCTTTTTCCTTTGTGTATGTTGAGGCCTACTGATGCAGAGACTGTTGCTACACTAGTTGACCTTATCTGCATTTGTTTGTGTGTATAGGATAGAAGGGCCAGGTTATCTGCGAAGTCCAAATCTTCTAATTAGTTCTGAGCTGTCCCATTGTATTCCGTGCTTCCCCTCGGATGTGGAGGTTTTCATAATCCAATCGACTATCAAAAGGAAGAGAAACAGAGAAAGTAATCAGCCTTGTCTGACGTCGGTCCCCACTTGGAATGCATCTGTTAGCTGTCCTCCATGCAGCACGTCGCACTTTAGTCCGTCGTATAAATTCCGTATGATCTTGACGATTTTCTCAGGTACACCAGTGTTGAAGTTTCCATAAGGTTCTCCTGTCCACAGTGTCAAACGCCTTCTCATAGCCAATGAAGTTGATGTATAATGAAGAGTTCCACTCAACTCATTTTTCGACGATGACTCGTAGTGTGGCAATATGGTCTGTGCACAACCGATCCTTACGGAATCTAGCCTGTTGATCACGACGTTGGGCGTCTATTGAGTCTTTTATCCGTTTCAGTAACACTCTGTTAAAGGCTTTCCCTGGTACTGACAGTATTGTGGTGCCTGTTATTCTCACATTTACTCAGATCTCCTTTCTTTGGAATCTTGATGAGAAGTCCTTGTTTCCAGTCCATCGGCACTTGTTCTTCCTCCCAAATCTTCTTGAATAGAACGTGGGACGTGTTTGCAGTTACTCTAATATCTGACTTCAGCTAGTGTACTGTCAGGTCCTGTTGCTTTCCCGCTCTAGATTCGTCTGATGGCTATCCTGATTTCTTCGGTTGTTGGTGGAGTGACATCTATATGAAGGTCTGTGTGTGCTGCTTCGATGTCTGGTGGGTTCAATGAAGTTGGTCTATTCAACAGTTCCTCAAAGTAATCCACTCATCTGTTCCTCTGTCCTTGAAGCTCGGTGATTGTCTTGCCTTCTTTGTCCTTGACAGGTCTCCCTAGTTTATTATATTTCCCTGTTACTTTCTTCGTTGTGTCACACAGCTGTTTCATGTTTCCTTCTGTTGCAGCTTTCTTCTCCGTCAATGCTAGTTCTTCCATGTATTTCTGCTCGTCGACTTTAATGCTCTGTTTCACTTGCTTGTTTGCGTCCGTGTACTCAGCTTGTGCTTTGAATTTCTCTGCTCGTGTTTGGCCGTTGTTGATTGCTGTCCTCTTGTTCTTCCTTTCTTTGATCTTTTCCAGTGTTTCTATAGAGATCCATTCTTTGTGATGTTGCTTGTTGCGGCCCAGAACCTTCTGACACGTTGATATTGTCCTCCACAGTAGTTTTTTGTTCTTTCAGTAGATTCTGTAACGCTTGTTGAGAGTTATCTTGAATTCTTTCAGTTTGTTAGTATCTCGAAGGAAGGCTGCATTGAACATTTGTAACACTGTTTCCCTAGCTTTCCAGTGTTTCTTTGGCTTCAGTTTCATCCTGGACACAACCGGGTGATGATCTGAAGTTATGTCAGTTTCTCTCCTAGTTTTCACATTTTCCACTGTCGTTCGGAATTTTTTATTGATACAAATATGGTCTATATGGTTCTCTGTGGTGTGGTCCGGTGAGATCCATGTAGCTTTGTGTATATGTTTGTGTTGAAATATTGTGCCGCCTATGACCAATTTGTTAAATGCAAAAAGGTTTGCAAATCTCTCGCCATTTTCGTTTCTCTCTCCCAGTCCATGTCGTCTCATGATATCTTCATATCAAGTGTTGTCCATTCCGACCTTGGTGTTTAGGTCTCCCATCAGGATGGTCAGCTCCTTTCTTGGGCACTTCGTTATGATTGATTGCAGCCTCTCATAGAACTGATCTTTATTGCCGTCGTTGATATTATTGGTGGGTGCACATCATTGGATAACATTCATCGTGATTTCCTCTCTCTTTGTTTTGAAGGATATTTTGATGATTCTGGATCCATGTGATTCCCATCCTACAGGCACGTTACGTACTTCTTTGAACAGCATCAGAGCAACTCCCTGAATGTGTGGAGTACATCAGCATCTCTCCTGTATCTAGCCTTCGCTGTCCAGCTTAAGTCTAATGGGTTTCGCAGATTCTGAGTACTTCCAAGTTGTATCTCCTCATTTTCGTTGTTATTTGACTGGTCCTCCTGGTCTCCCAGATTGTCTGAACGTTCCATGTAACTATAAAATTGTTGCTCCGGTTGTAAGAAGAGGCGTTGGCCTCGTGACTTCAGAAGAATCTCGGCTTTCATCCTGAGGCATCATAATTCTTCCGTCAACTCCCAGAGAATAGTTTGAAAGGTTTTATTTGTTTAGTCTGGTTGATGTTTTTTAGCAAGATTTTATTCTACATGATGAGGCTGCCAACCCCATGCTTAACCCTCCTACTTTAGCTGGGCTTGACACCGGCAGTAACTCTAGAAGAGCCACAGGCGTAATTTTTTCTTTTTACGCTGATTTAAATAACACTTTATTTCCGGTAAGCAATATTTTCAACTAATTTCGACTAAGTGATTCCACTACTAGACAGCAGATCGTAATCCATGTATGAGCTGAAATTGCTTCAAGTTACCGTCACTAGACTATTGTTCGCCATAGTAAGGTCAGTCAGTTGCAACGTAAGACCAGGAACACATGTGCATCGGTCCAAGTTGCCATACCTCATTAGCACAACAAGATGAGTCCCCAAATGCCTTGGTACGGCCGAGAGTGGAGAGAGTTCGCTCACCCTCTCGAAATGCTCTCAAATGACCACGCGTATATAGCCTCTGCTAGGGAAGTCCTACTCACTGCCTTCTCGCGACAGGAGTGTTATGTGCGAAATTGAGAGGATGAAAGGTGAATGTCCGATACCTTAACCGGGTTGGTGGACACGGAGGGTCCACCTAGGGGGGTCGGAAAACCTTGATTCCAAACCAATGGTGTACATCGGCTCCAGGGTCCTGAGAGAAAGAATGGTGTATGAAGCAATTGTTGGTCACCGGCTAGCATGGGACTGCATACCTCCACCGTCTTGTGGATCAGACCTTCAGGTAGAAGGCTCCGGGTGTGGCCCCCTAAGAAAATCACCTGCTTCGGTTTGGGCACCCTGGCAGTATCACAGCCCTCACACAAATCAAACGAGACTTGTGTGGCGCACATGTATTTGCTTCCTCCTTGTACCAATATCTCTGTGTTCAAATAATAATAATAATACAACAAGGTGAACACCGGACTCATAGAATTGGTTAATTCAGTGGTGGTAGTATATAAGAGAAAGATTGCATATAAGAACATAGTACAGGAAGAAAGAATTAGTTCGTAGAAAGAAAGATACTTTCAACAGTAAGAAGGTATAGAAAGTAGTTTAATTACTTGTCAGAAGAAAAGGTGTAGATTTAAGATGCAAACGCTTTTATAAAAGTGAATCACGTGACCGAAATGACATAATACTAACCTGAATGTAATACGTATAAACCAAATATGCATCGGATGCAATATCTGCGAGGTAACTCATTATAGAAATGAAAAATATCACAACTTGATACCACCGAAATCCATGAACTTTAAGAAACTCAACTAGCCTTATTTCATCCTCAGGCTGAACAATAGTAGACAATGGAGGAGCACTTGAATGTGGAGTAACAAAGGAACTGGATGGTTCATCGAAAGAAATTTGCTTTGAAATTGAAGCATCCGTAGCATCACAAACAGTAAGTGATTCTACTTTGCTCTTATTCCCCATGAGATTACTGCTGGAATGCAATGTAAATGACGAGTTTTAGTTGATACACTGAATTAAGAAAGTCGGTATTTAAACACGGAAGTGAAATGTCAAGGAAACGGAGATATTCTAAAAACCTGTGGTAAAATGTATACTCCTGACACATGTCAGCATCCCCTTCCTATTTTACTATTTTGATTATATCTCTAATGGTGGTTAGTGACGTTATAAGGAAACCACATGGCTGAAATAAACGTATGCTTTAAACAGTACAATTGTAGTATCAAAATGTGGCGTCAGTCCACTAAGTCATTGACACTTAATATGAACTATGTAGGTAGCTGCATACAACCTGGTTTGAGTGCGTTCCGTGAGATTATCGCAACTAATCGTTAGAGACTGGGTTAAATGGCTCGGAATTGTTCGCAATGGCATTAGTACATTCACCATTCGTTTTCGTTTAGATCCTAACTTACCTGTCTTCAAAAAACCCTTTCAATTCTATGAATCCATATTTTATCGAATCATATCTCCGATCCCCTTTTCTGCTACCAATAATACTGCTACCACTTATACTACTCTGGAATACCCTGTATTTACGTAGTATAACGAAACATGCACATCTGTGTCAGGTCCTATGTTACATGTGACTGGCTAACTGTACATTTGTAGTGATGTACAAAAGTGCTTTAACGTTCCACTTACTTTTCCGTCGACATGGTACAAAATATTTCTAGAGTATCATTCATTATTATCTCTGATTCAAGCTTGTGATGTACATTGCTTTGTGGATTAAGTTTAAAGTGCATCATTCACGACTCATATGACCAAATACAAAATTCAAGTATCCACTAAAGTGTGTTTATTTTAGGAATACCTCTATTCCCGATTGTATTAGAATATATCTTTAGTAAGATGATGAAAATAGTTTTAGATTATATTTTACTTCAACACGATAAGGGAGTTTAAACTGAAGTTTATTCTCCAAAATCTTTCGTAAAATTTGCTCTGAAAATAAAAATGGTATCCTTTAAGTATTTTTGGTATGATTTTGACTTAACGACAGTAAATACTCATGTTGTCGCCTTCTAAGACCAGAAAGTTTCTGTGCTGCAAGTGAGATTGTGACCTAGACCACCATAACAAGGTGGATTACAAATATTATGAGAAGGTAAACGTAAACGCCAAAACTTAAAATTATTCACTGGATTAACACCATTTCCCTTGATCTGCTCACTTGCTATATAGACAACGATCTACACATCAGCAGACTGTTTTACTTCCTTGGAACAAAATGAATGGTATATCATAGAGTGGATGAAATACTTGTACATCATTTACGTATTCTACAGTCAGTGAAGAGATACTTGATGCTTAGACGTTTTAGAAAGCTTACAACTGCGATGCCAATGTAAAAGATTAAGCTTTTTCGCCCGAAATACTACTGGCACAATGTCGAGAGGTTTATTTGGTTGCTTGGAATCTTGATGTAAGCCATGTAATTTGTAGTTATATTTAGATTTTGTTTATTTAGTTTACTTCTGCTTTAAGTAAATCAGTATTTTCTAAGTTTTTATAATCGAAATACCATTGAAACACTTTTTTAAAATGCAGTGAAAACATACATTGTTTGACCGTCATGTTGTACAGGAAAGTTAGCCCACATGGGAACTGCTTGCCAAGACCGTTTTGTAACCAATACCTTTGATGGTTGTACACAATGTAGGTTGGGCAATCCATTTTCACTTCTATTGAACCTAAACATAACTTGGAGATAGAAATGTGATAATCAAAATGAAGTGCTTCTGGATACTAAAAAACAGATGAAATTACACAAGAGTATACATTTATCATTAAATATATAAATTGAACAACTGGCAGGTGTCATTCGAAATATGAACAGCAGACTTATTGCTTAAAAATCTGTATGCACATATCGCTGATACTGCATAGTTTGCAGCTCGATATAACTGACTAATACTCACTAGTCGTGCGGTAAACTGAGATAAACTTTGACAGAATAAAACGCTTAAATGGATGACGTCTAGTTACTTTGCGGGCAGAGAAAATAACTTTGGCAAACAATAGACAATTTAAAGCATACTAATATGTAATACAGAACCAGACTATGTTTAGATGACCAGATAAAAAGACATGAGTTTCTAAAAATTGTTGGCGATACACTTTGTAGTCTTTTAATAACTGCTAATAAACTTCCGATCTCAGTTATTTCCATCACGTCGTGCTAATGTAGTATGACAACTTTAGCCAAGAAATATATGTGCTAGGCTCTACGCTGATGGTGCCTGTCGGTGGTAAGACCGTACGGCATACAAATCAAAATTAAAACGACTTTAAATAAGCCCGTAAAGTTAGCGTTATTTCATATTAGTCTAAAATTACTGCTTATGGTGATTGTATATATTACATATAACTAATGAATTAAAGCTATCACAAACGAAGGCTGCTTACTCTTTAACAGGGATTTTCAGTCAGTTAGTCATCCAAAACGTGAGATCCGAGAAAGTCAGTCTTCAGTAATAAAGATAGTAGGTCGGTGAACCTGTGTTAGCCCTGACAGATTGTCTTCCAGTGAAGGTCCAGTTTCTCCTTGAAAATATTCACTGATGGGGCTGGTACCACTTGTTCCGGTAAGGCGTTCCAGTCATTGACTACTCGATGAGAAAAACGGGACCTCACTTTGAGTTTATTAGATCGCAGTTTGTGGACCTTCTTGCGCAAGAAGGTTATAGCGCTATAACCTCGGAGATTATTAGTGCTGGATGGAGCAAAAAGATAAGACATATTAACACCAAATCATAATTAAAGATACGAAATGCCAGTATAAGGTCACCTCGAGTCCTACGATACGACAAGGGGAAAAGGTTTAGGCGTTTTAAACGCTCATCATAAGGGAGTTTAAAAAGACCCTTCACTAATTTCGTTCCCACACGCTGGACACGCTCGAGTGAGGTAGTATCCTTTATCAGACATGGGCTAGCTGCTTGAATACAGTACTCTAAATGTGGTCTTACATAGGTGGGATATAAAATTCGAAACATTTCCTCGTCAAAGGATTTGAACGCTCGGCGAAGTGACCACAACGCACGAAAACCTTTGACAGCGGCTGCGTTGCAATGCGTAGTTGTTTTTAAGTCATGACTTATTATTACTCCTAAGTCTTTATGTTCTTGAACGCATGGAAGAGGTTTACCATCAATAGTATAATGGTAACTATTACCGTAACCGATGTGCATTAGCACACTCTTCCAAGAATTGATTTCTAATCTAAGCCCCAACCTCTAGCCCATCCAACTAAGTCGTCTAAGTCAGCTTGGAGATCCAAATGATCAGCCTCACTTTTTATTGTTCTCCAGATTTTCACGTCATCCGCAAACAATAATGTTGACGACCTAAGCAACAGCGGTAAATTGTTAACGTAGAGAAGGAAGAGCAGAGGGCCTAAGATGGTGCCTTGGGGTACACCACTTTTGACCGGCTTCCAATCGGATGGCGTTCCATTGACCCTCACTCTCTGTCTGCGGTCACATAAGAAGTTTCCTATCCACTCCTGTACAGCACCTATTATTCCGAAGCTCGTGAGCTTCTGCATAAGACCTAAGTGTGAAACCTTGTCAAATGCTTTGCTAAAATATATGAATATCACGTCGACAGACAGACATTTATCTAAGGCTGCTGTCCGATCCTCTATCGCAATAAGTAAGTTAGTCAAGCATCTAATAAACTTAAAGTGGGGTTCCGTTTCTCTCATCGAGTAGTCAATGATTGAAACGCCTTGCCCGAACAAGTGGTATCAGCCCTGTCAGTGAATATTTTCAAGGAGAAACTGGACCTTCACTGTAAGGCAATCTGTTAGGATTAACACAGGTTCACCGACCTACTATCTTTATGACTGAAGACATGAACGCCTGTTACGAAATCCATGCTGCTCAAGAGTTAACAGATTGTGTGAGTCTATGTGACTTAGCAACCTAACCCGAATTATCTTTTCAAGTAACTTAACGACAATGCTAGTTAGACTGACAGGCTGGTAGTTAGATACGATCTGTCTCTGACCATATACATATACATATATGTATCCGCCAAAGTCCCTACCCTACGATAAAGTGCATCTATCGAGAATTAGCAAACGTACAGAAAACAATATGAGAAATAATGGAAAGCTAAACATGGTTAAAGCGAAAGAAACGATGAATAACGACTACGCTGCAATACAACTCAATATGCATTGGAAGACGAATAACGAATGTAACTGCTCCACTGTGACCGACTTAAGGCTGTTTTAGATAGCGTTTGAGTCTATGAATTGTGATGATACTTTGGATTTCGATCTGCAATTCTATTCTCCTTACATCGCTCACACCAATAATCTAAGATTGATGTTAAGACTCAGTTTGGGCGCCACTAATATCCTCCTAAGTTACTCCAATGTCAGCTAGCAAAACAGACCAGAGATAACAGAGGCCAGGCCTGCACAACATATGTCTGAACAACCTCAACAGATGAAAGTCTATAATCGCATTAGTCGACTTTTTACCTGAACCGAACGCCTACCCTGAGCACTATCATGGGTTATTTCCAAACACCTAGAATGCTTCTAAAACACACGATCAGACATTTGCAACCTACGCAGATAATCTAATTCACAGATTCTTCCGGAGCTATAGAAGAAGTGTCGTGTAATAAGCAGGGAGATAATATGCGTATCACAAGTGGTGTGAATCGGCGAACGTGAACACTATGCATCTGTTACGAGATTTCGTTGACCGTCAAACCAGTACAGTTGATGAGACTTGCAAGAAAAGTGGTCAGAACGCTAGACTACTTTTATCTTCGTAGTTGAACCAAACAATGGAGCGAAACAATTCTGAAACCAGAAATTGGATTTGGAAGGGAAGAAACGCATCTATATTATATTTCCATTATCGATTATGGAGTTCCTAAAGTTGAGTTTTATCAGCATTAGCACAAAACCGAAGAATCAGGTAGCAACAATATAATTACCTCCAAATGCTCTGGCACAGACGAGGGTGGAGAAAGTCCGTCCACCCTCTCGAAATGCTCTCAAATGACCACGCGTATATAGCCTCTGCTAGGGAAGTCCTACTCACTGCCTTCTCGCGACAGGAGTGTTATGTGCGAAATTGAGAGGATGAAAGGTGAATGTCCGATACCTTAACCGGGTTGGTGGACACGGAGGGTCCACCTAGGGGGGTCGGAAAACCTTGATTCCAAACCAATGGTGTACATCGGCTCCAGGGTCCTGAGAGAAAGAATGGTGTATGAAGCAATTGTTGGTCACCGGCTAGCATGGGACTGCATACCTCCACCGTCTTGTGGATCAGACCTTCAGGTAGAAGGCTCTCGGCGTGGCACCCTAAGAAAGCCGCCTGCTTTGGTCTGGGAATACGAACAGTGTAACAGCTCAAATGCAAATAAAATGAAATGACAATGATTGCTGGAAATACTGTTCTTGCTCCAAATAAAATTCAGACAACTCACACTCGTCTGATAACATTCAATTTTACATTCCTTTATTTATATACTACGTCACTTATCCACTCTCCTTCATTTTCCCTTCGTGTGCCGATATTTGTTAATTTATACAGAAACTCGCAATGGTGGAAACCCTGTCCTGTTTCATAAACGATCTCGAGTCACTGACTGGTCGAAAATTGAATGCTACCACCGAATACGAATACTAAAACGGTCTTTCTGAAATCACATATACCATTCAAACTAGCTTCCTTCAACGTTCGTACATTAACGCAGATCAGACAACAGATAGGGTTGGCTATGTCTTTAGAAAGTCTTAATATCGACGTCTGTTGTCTATCCGAAATCCGTATTCAAGACTAGTGAAGTACTACAAATTTGCTCTTCGTCTGTCGCTTTGATAAGCTTGTTTTATGTGCGTTTATCCGGGGACCCTGTGGCATCTTCGTCTGGTCTTGCTGGCGTTGGTGTCTCACTAAGCGCTAGAGCCGAGGCAGCACTAATCAATCAGATCCTCAATAACAGTCAGTTACGTGCTGTTTGATTAGAAAGTTCCATCAAAGTAAGTGGTCGGTGTGAGAAACGATGTATTTTCGTCATCTCCGCCTATGCTTCGACATGTTGCAGCCCGGATGCAATCAAGGATGAATTCTACCACCAGTTAACTGTTCTTCTCCAGAAAGTGCGTTCGACAGATATTGTAGTACTAGCCGGAGACTTGAATGCTCAGATCGGGCATCTAGGCACAGAAGAGAGTTGTTTAGGTGACCGATGGGGACTTGTTGGTCACAGGACAGATAACGGGGACTGTCTACTGCAACTGTGTGCAGACCACAACCTGTTTGTGGCTAGCACCAACTTCCGGCATGGTCATCGCCGACTTGCTACCTGGCGTCCTGCTTCTGCATCTCAAGCCTGGACTCAGATTGATCACATCGCGATCAGCCACCGTTGACGTGGTTGTATACAAGTGTGTCGCTCCTTTTGGAGTACCTATATGGTCTCTGATCATGCCCCTGTTTGCGCTATCATTACTTTATTTTTCAGTGGCCAACAAATTTACCACCCGAAAAAGATCGATGTCAGAAACACGGTTTCGATCTCCACTGCAACTAAATATCAAACCAAGCTGAGTTCATTGCTAGCTAACACCCTACCGAAAGTATCACAGGCCAACAGCTGTAGTGTTTCTTGACATCAAGGCTGCCTTCGATTCGTTGGACAGGATTATTCTCTGGGAATGCCTTTTGAAGAAGAGTGTGCCTGAGAAGTTTATTGACATCTTCCTCCATTGTTCCATTCAAGCAGTGGGCCTTGACGGGGTTGCTCAACCTCACCATTCCACTTCAACCTTGCTATCGATGACGTTCTAGAAAGAACTCTGATGGATGTAAGCAGTGGCGGTGTGAATCTGTTGTCTGGAGTAAGACTTTCGACATTGATTATGAAGATAATATTGTCTTATTGTGCGATGATATCCAGGCCCCTGATCCTGCACGTACCCTGGGTAATGAGCAGATAGAAGTAATTGAGAAGTTCGTGTATCTGCACAAGTGATGGTGGTCGCGTTAATGATGAAATCAATTCACTTATACTGAAAGCCAGAGCGGCCTATGCCAATCTGGGTCATCTTTGGCGCCTTTGTGATGTTTGTCTGAATGTAAAAGGTCGGATCTATAACGCGTCGGTGAGAGCAGTTTTGCTCTATGCTTGTGAAACCTGGCCTCTCCCAGTTGAGGATGTTAGACAACTCTCTCTCTCCGAAGGATTGCTGACATCCAGTGACAAGACCATGTTAATAATGCAGAGGTTCGGCATCGTGTGTTCGGGCACAGCGATGATAATTTAAGTGGTGTCACATTGTGCATTATTTGGTGTCTCTGAGACTGACTGAGAAAAGCGGAGAGGTTGTCAATTTATGATACGATATCGTGATGTGAAAAAAAGTCGTACAATACTTGCATGTGTCTATCCTTCACGATTTCCTGGTTGGGGTCCTAAAGATAGTGCAACACAGTGGCTAGAGACGTTATCAGACATGGCTCAGAATAAAAGCCAATGGCGCCCCTGTTGTAACGTTATTTTACTTTCTTCATAAAAAATGGACGTAACTTCTTTAACTGCAAGAATTCATTCTAATTGTAGGTTTGCTAACTTCACTGCTTTCCCCACTATTTATATTTCACTATCATGCACTAATTTCTGTTTGTTATTGTTCCCTTTTCATTTATACGCACCTTACATTTTCTATATATTCATATTGTCATTGTTATTGTGTGGCGCATATGTGTCTGGTACTTCTTTGTACAAATATTCATGTGTCCAAATAAATAAATAAAGAATATCATTTCTATGGGCAAAATCACTATCTAAATTAAATAAAGACAGTCAGCACGCCTAATAATAAATATAATACACCAAATCAAGCTGACTGTTGAGGGCATTGACTCAATAAGTATTATTCAAATAGAGTATTCAGATTTTTAAAGTGCTTTAGTACATATCTTAATATCAGAACTTATCACAACACTTGTTGTTCAACAGAATTAAATCTAGCTTTAGGATTAAGAAACATGAATACATTTTGATGTCATTAAGCATCTTAAAGTTTTAAAAACTGACGGAATAAAGGAACCGTCAAAACATTTCGTCGACGTAGGTGTCTAAACTGAACCGTAATTCAAAAAGACATCTTTAGTTAACTCGTAGTGACTCTCTGTATCTTTTGCCATTACTCTTTTTACCGTTTACAGTTTTGGGCCTCGTATTATTGTTCCAATCAGGTTTTGATAGGTATTAGATAACTGGAAAGCACGTAAGATTCAGTTACGCTGTATTTCTGAAAGTACACCAACCATCACCCAAATAACCTAGTGCAGAAGATTACAGTCCAGGCTTTTTCGATAACATTCTTACAGGCAGTTATCTTTCGAGTATTCTAAACAGTTGTCTAACCTTATGCATCAACGTACTTACTTGACTTCCATCGGTTTTGTTGTCTATTACAGATCACAATCACTGGGTACTTTCCTAGGTTTATCGTTCGATACATTTCATTCATAGTCATTTTCAAAGCTTGTTAAGAATAGTTTATAGCACCAACCGTTTGAACAGAGGTAACAGAGTCTTAATGGTCTTTCGAATTTTTTCGCTTCAAAAAATTGCATTTTTAAGATTACCTCAAACTAACCCCTGATAAACGTCTGCCTTATTTTGCTATCAGTGATTATTCAACTCTCCATTACATGTGTCCTCGAATTTCCTATTTCCGACAGGCGAGATGCACCATGTTAAGTTTTCGGATGACGATTCTTATATATAGGTCGCATTCAGCAATGTTTGAAGACTGATGGAGTTCTGAAAAAAGAATTGATTTTATCCGTTTTGCTTTTTGTGGTTACCTACTCCTTTTATTCTATTTTGCTTACTATTCCTAATCCCAAATAATAGTCCATCTATCATTTTCACCAAAGATATACGAGCGACTTGTGTGCCAATTTGCTAACACTCGAGATATACAATGTTGTCATTGCGATGCTGACTTCATAAACCACACACGAAACATATTGCGACTATTTATAACACGCTAAAAGGTCCATAACTTGTCGTTGCTTAAGGTCAACAAGAATTAATCAACATCGAGGTGTACCGGACAGGCTGTGAACCACATACGGAGAAATCCGAACGCTTCACTTCTATATGAAGTTTGTGCTGAGGATGTCGTTCAGGAGGACGATGAAAGCTCCACGACCAAACCACCCAGCTCAGAGATTAAAACGTCATCAAAAAGATTCCAAGGTTATCATAATTTGAAGCTCTTGTCGATCGTTTTCCCTAATAAACGTAAGTTCATTGTGTGTGCTTGCTTGGTTATCGACCCGACTTTTCTTCTGTTCTTATCCTTTTCAACACTCCTTACCCACTCAACACTGCATGATCCTTCAGTAAATAAAGTGATATCTGGCCAGAAACCATTACAA